TTTTGCCTTACAAAATGTATTCCTCCCTATCATGAATTACATATATGTTCACAAAAATCGTTATGAATTTTTTTTACAACACAATTATTTATATCATTTTAAAGCATATTACATAAAATTTTTATTGCTAAATCTTGCATTTCGTATAGTGTAATTTTATTGATTATTGAGGATGAATAGAATACTGATACAGGACATTTTAAAAAATAACTCTTAAACATAAAATATTTTAAAAAATAACCTTTTTTTATAATTTTAACTATTTTTAATCAAGTTGGATAAAATTATCTTTAATAAAATTACACGCTATGATGTTACATACCATGTACAGAAACATGTTACATGTCATGATTAAGTTGTTACACACCATATACAAAAACATGTGACACGCCATAATTAGGTTGTTACAAGTCATTGTTAAGTTGGTACATACTATGTACAAAAATATGTGACACGTTATGATTAGGTTGTTGCACACCATGATTAAATTGTTACATGTCATGTACAAAAATATATTATACACCATGTTAAAAAAATATTATTGTTACATGTTATGTGTAAAAATATGTTACACGCTATAATTAAAAAATATTGTTACACACTATATTGAAAAAAAATACTATTATTACATGTCATGTTAAAAAAATATTATTATTACACGCCATATTTAAAAACATTTTGTTATACTTTAATACCTAAACTGTTGTTGTTATTACAATCTAAAACTTAAAATCCTCTCAACTATTTTTATTTATTTTTGGTTTATTTGATAATATGGCACCGATTAAAGTGTTTCTAACATGTTTTTATAAATCAAAATACAAATTTTCTTATCTAAAACACCTATTTTAACTAAAAATTGAAAAAAAATTATTAAAAACTTAAGTTTGTAAATTTTAAAATTTTGAGTTTATTGGTGTCTAGATCCTAAATTAATCCAATTAAAACCTATTTCAAACATTTGTGATAATTTTTACTGTGTAGTTTAATCCAAAATATCTAAAAATTAAATTCTCTAAATAGCCATCCACTCAAGCACATTAAAACCATTGTTTGATGTTTTTAAAGTGCTGAAAAGAGAAATTTGAAAGTACAAGAGAGAAATCAGAAGCATAGTAAACAAATGCGAAAGAGAGAAATCGATAAAATTAAGGAGAGTGAGATGTTGAGAAAGAGAAATCGAAAAACATAAATGGAGAAAAATTGTGATAAATAGTTTAATTTATTTAAAATAATTTTAATGATGTTTTTGTCAAGTTATGATTAAATATAATTAAAAATAATTAAATTTATTTTGATGATTATTTTTGAAATACCCTTAATAAGAAAGATTATTTTTCATAATTTTCTCATGCTGATACTTATTTTAATTTAAATAACATAAAAAATAAAATTTCAATAAAATCTTTACTGAAATCTTAGAATTGAAGTCGTCCGTCGGCTCGGGATTAGAGAGAACCTTACCCTATTATTTAGGCTATAATTAAATAATATTATTACAGTCAAAAGCTTTATTTCCCTCAATTTATGGTTTTGTTTTATAAATACAGGGGAATTATGGGCTCTTTGACTAGTTATGTCTTGTATTATTGTTTTATTCTTCCACTGTCTTGCTTCACCGGGAAGAAACGGTAGAACCCGAAGGGGCTGACGAGAGCATGAAGCGACAAAATGCTGTCCACAATATTCACGAAATATATAAATATTACGACATTTTTTGACATTTTCAAATTAAAAAAAGGGGAAGGAAAAAAGAAAACGGTCTCGATGGATTATCACTAAAAACGAATTGCCAAGGCCGCCGCCGCCGCAGAGACAACTGGCTTTGTCGTGCCGGCTCTTCCACCAATCCTAGAAAATTTGAAGTGAAAAAGTTCAACATAAGCATAAGATTGATCTATGAAGTATTATTGTCTTTAGCCAATAACTTCAACTTTCAACTTTTTTTTTTTATTTTTTTTGGGTGACTTTGATCTATTCTCATGTACCAAGAAAACAAGGTTTGTTTGTTAGAATTTGAGAATGCCCTTTTGTTTGAAAGACCAAAAGCTGTAGAGAAATTCTTTTGCAGGAAAAGTTTTTCATCTTGCGGATTGAATCAAAGACAAAACCACGTGGACTGACACACACAAAGAAAGCAGGAAAAACTATGTTTTATGAAAAACATGTTGCAGGGAATGGAAGGGGCAGCAAACGGGAGAATATTTGGGAACGTTCTCATTTAAAAAAAAGGTTTCGTACAAACGCTGAATATATACAGACAGTATATGCGTAACCACAAGAGAGAGAAAGCTATAACCAATCCTAAACTTAATTGGCTTAATTAACTTAATTAATTTTTTGAAAAACACAATTTATTAATAAAACGCTACGTTTCAAGCATTCCATTGCCTTCCTCTTGTCTTTGATAAAATGATGCGTATAGAGGCCTCCCTTGTCTTGTTTATGGTTTCCTTTCTTTAGAGTTTTGATTTTTCTTCTAGAGATGGCAATAGATATTCTATTATAGAGTTATCATGCGTATCTAACTCGGTTATATATAATTAAAGTATTTTATAATTGAATTTGAGTTTAGATAGGGTTCATGTAGGGTTTGAGTACCACCTTTTAGATACTTGAATCATATTATAATTTTTTCTAATTTCATATAATTAAAAACAAGCTCATATCATTCATTAAATTAATTAATAAAATTATTATTAATTAACTTGTAATATTTTTTAATACATATACTTTACAAATTATGCTAATTTATAAAGAATATAATTACTATTATATATATACTTTTATACTTTAAATATAAAAATATGCCTTTTCTATTTTGTGTTAATGTTACGAAAATACTAACTTATAAAATTATTAATTATAATATATACCTTTTGTGTATATAAACTTATAAATATCTACCTAAAAAGGAATTGTGAGATTAAATAATTTTGGAATCTAGTTATTTTTTTATTTCTTAAACAAACTCATATAGTTAATTAAACTTGTAATGTTTAAGTTGTTGTTTGACTATTTGTTTTTAGTTATTTAAGTTGATATTTGATATATTTATTTTTTATTATTTTAATTTTAATTTTATTATTTGTTTGCTTTTGTAAATTTAATTATTAGTAAATTATATGAAATATGAATAAAAATATTAGTGTAAATAGATACAGGTACGGATTCGGGTTTGAGTAATTGGGTACTCATGAAGAGCATTTTAATAATTTTTTTACATAATCAATTTTTTAAATGGATTCAGGTATTATCAAGTAATAAGTATATATTAAGATTCGGGTTAGAACAATAAATTTAAAAAGTATTCGAGTAATTACATAATTTGAGTATATCATTTATTAATTGAATTCAGGTTCGAGTATTTTGAAATTAACGGATACCCTACTTGTTGACAACCTTATTCTCTTCTTGTCCATTCTTCTTGTTCCAGTTCATTCTTCATCATGCACTAAATCAGTTATGGTGATCTTGGACTTATTTCTTCATCTCATTTTTTATACTCCCCTCAAGAGGAATGATGAATATTGTCAACATTCATCTTGCTCAAAAGGTTCTGAAACTGTTTAAGTTGTAAAGGCTTTGTAAACATATATGTTATCTTCTCCTGTCCTGTTTATGCCTTTTTTTTTAAGAGCTTCGGTTTCTTTTCTTGTCCTTTCTTCTGGCTCCAATTCATTCTTCATCAGTACTCAGCCATTTATGGTAATCTGTGACTATTTCTTCATCTCATTTCTGATATTTTAAATTGTTTATGTCAACTAATACTGCTTATTCACTACTTTTAATTTCAATTCATACTAATCATTCCTTTTTTAGGGCAATTTACACTTAACCACATCATTAATGGTGAATTCAATTTTTTTAAAATAAAATTGTTTAGATAAAATATGAAATTAAGATTTAATTTATCATATAACTTTCTTTTATTTTCTATTAAGATTTAAAAAAAATTTAAAACATACAAAGAAACTTTTAAAACCATAGTTTATTTAAATGAAGTGATATTCCTCTAAATCACAAAAATATAAAGTATTGATCGCGTTTGTTCTGTTTTTTCCCAGTCAGACCCTGGCTTGTTCTGGCTGATGGCGAAATGTGGATAATTCAAAAGAAAATATAGACAAGGCATGACGTCTAGTCTAGTGGGCACCCAGCCGCGCCAGTTCCTTCTATCCCATGGAGTTGACGCGCGATTCGTGAGTTAAAACATTTATGATGATTACTTGTCATTTACTGTCAATAAATTATTTCAGATCCTTCTTAGTCTTTGTGAATGACGTCAAAAGATTTCAAGTCAATGGAAACAGCCCACCTATAATTATAAGTGACAGAGTAAGTAAATGCTATTTAATTATTTTTCATAATTTTAAAACAAGCAAGTTACTTTATTTATATTTTATTGATAATATAATTTTTGTTGTAAATTATAATCTTATGATTTTTAATTTTCATAAACAAATTCAAATAAGTGATACATGTCTTTTCGATATATGACAAATCAAATTAAATTCAACAATTAATGCTTAATTTTTAATTCAATACATATGCATATGCATATTAAAAAGAAAGACAAACAAAAAAAAAATGAAAGAGAATATTAGGTAAATGAAAAAGTGGATCACTTTGAAAGATAAACGTGTAATCATATGCGGAGTATATCTTCGAGGTTCATGCTATACAGGCCGAGGCAAAAAATGTGTAAGAGACCATGAGAGGTGGCGTGATTTTCATATCATTGCAAATCAAGCGGGATAATTCTTTTATTTTTTGTGAATTTGAATTTTACTAGTTAAACAAACAAATTGATTTGAATATAATAAAATCCTAATTTTATTTTTTTTAGGAATTGATATCTTATTCATTTTAATGCCAAAAAATAAGAAAAAATAATAAAAAAAATAAAATATAAAAGGTATTTTAATATTAAAAGAATTCAAAATAGGACAAAGCATTTTTTTAAAATAATTATACATCTCAAATGTCTAAAGGAAGGAAAAAAAAATTAGTCAGACTTCATTTATGGGATGGAACAACAATTAGGCATGACTTAAGGAAGAAAAATAAGTGGGGACGGAAGTGGGGCGGCGGGGCGTTTATAAACTAGAACAAGAGCCGTAACCCTAGGGGCTGTTTTAATTACTGTGCGATGTGGTTGTGGTGGTCTTAAAAAAGTGTAACAAAAGCAAAACACGAGGTGATTTTCATTGCAAATAAATTGTATTTATCGCTATGAATGAAGCGCCGGAAATATGGATGCCCAAAAATGGTGGCCAACACGCAATTTCTCGAGATACACGTGTCAAAATATCCACCTTTGTTGGGTTCAAGGAAGAAAGCTTCATCCCGTCGCAACCCACAAATCTCGTGGTGGGGTCTGCAGATCTGCTGCCGTTGTGTTCATCGCTCAGTGTTACGTCAAACTCATTATTTTTTCAGTGCTAGTATTAAAATAGAAAAACCGAAAGCTTAAATTAGGGGTCAAAGATTTCAATTTAAGATTTTTATTTAATATTTTGTCATTTTTTTATTTGTTTGAGTTGAGTGACAGTGACAGTTTTAATCATGTCTACCAATTACGTGATAGAACCTTTTATTTTTTTTTATATTGAGATTAGGTATTTGTTTTGGCAAAACATTTAATCGAAGCTTTGGACCAAAGATTATCTTGGGCTAGCTCCATGTCCATCACATAAGATATAAACTTGGCTTCCCCATCATTTCAGCTTTTCACTACAATCCGCTCTTCCCAGTATAAGTGCTCCCTTTGTCTCCGAAAATGCTAATGAATTTACAAAGGACAAGCACATTCCTATTTTAAAAAGGTACCTTCACACTAATCCTATTACATAATATTTCATTTTCATACTATTTTCAGGTATATGAACCATTTCAAGCTTTACCTTCGATGAGAAAAGATGATTATTTATTAAAAATAAAAAAGGGATTACAAGAAAAAGAAAGGCTTCTCAATACAAGGACACCTACAGGGGATTACACAAAAATTTCCCGGTCGCCAGGTTGCCGCTTCCACACTATTGGGTATATGATGAAGGTTGGTATGCAGATGGCGGAGCAGAGCCATAATCATATGCCCCATAACTAGTTTGAACCCCAAAAGCACCGCTGTTCCGATAACCAGCAGCACCCATATTATCCACGGCGTGTGGGTAGTGTTGTTGAGTAACTGCAGCAGGACTTTGAGAGTGGGCCACACCATATGCTGATGCATATGGCGCAGTAGGACCCTCAAAAACATTCTGGCCAGCATAGTTATATGGTCCAGAATATCGTGCAGCTGGACTATGCTGTGCAGAGGAAGCTGGGTTTCTACGACTGAAAGGGGCATAAGAATTTGAAAATTTAGCGGCTTTAGCCGGACGGAAAGCAGAAGGTCCACTGCCCCGGCTACTACCAGCATTATGGCCTCGCTTATTTTGAGGCTTTCCAGTGGCTGATGAACTCTTTTTCCTATCTGCCTTGACTTTCTCCAGCTGAGTGGCTCGCTTTCTTAAGCTATCAACAGAGAATTCTGACTCAAGCTTATGGTCTTCAACACATTTGATGATGGCTTTGATTGAATTCAGCTCCACATTGTTCGACTCCTCCTGCTAGACGAACTATCTTTAACCAGTAACTCTTTGCTTAAGGGACAAGAAACGAAATTCTACATACATGATGTAATTGGTATGTTAAATGATGAAAGTGAAAGTGCACGCACCGTTGCAGCTGCACTATAATTTTCATTCTTCAGTATGGTGGCCGCATTCTTTTTGGAGTTCCTGAGATAGGACTTGAGCAGAGAAACAGGAGAAAATCTTTCTGTCAAGCCAGCCTCCATGGCAAAGTACACTGCCTCTATCTCTTTACCATTCTTTACTAGTTCATCAATAATATCTGAAAAGTTCAGAGATCATTCACTCAAGGAGGTGCAATTTAAGTGAATTCTCATACAATGATGATAGGAATAAAACAATACAAAGTATTCGTACAATGTTTCTGGTTGTATTATCTTTAAGTGATGCCAACACCGTAATTTATGAACTGATTCTCATTTTCTTGGAAGAGGTGTTTATCTTTTAGCTTTTAATTTAGATTTGTGCTGGCACAAAAAACTGGGCAAATAATCACAAAGAGAAAGCCAACGACCCAATTCAGTATAATACATTGCAGGCTATATTTACCTATTTTTCTACCTTAATTTAACTAGTAATTTTTCATGATCTAAAAATATAATTTACATAAGAAACACAGCATCATAGATATTTGCAGCCTACAGTCAGAGGTGGTGCACAAGCACTACTATGACAAATGTGCGTGTGATTTTATTTATAGAAGTAATATAAAAAAAAAAACCATTCAAAAATACCAAATCAGAAAATTGTGTCTCATTATAGGCATAGTTTTGGTCAGGCTTACATTCCAAATATATTTGCCTAAAAGTAAGTTGCAAGAGTATAGGAGCCACCAGAGTGCATGTGCTGTCAGTGCGTCCGCACATGCAACATGAGGCACTGCATGACCAATGCCTAACATAAATCCTACAAATCTTGTTTGTATAGGCTTACATCAATTTTATATCGGTATTTGACATACGCATCCGTATTATAGAGAAATGCAATGCAAGCACACACTCCAAAATCCATCTATGCAAACACAGACATGCATGCATGTATGTATAACTTGGCATGGCATACAACGGTCCACTCTGCTATCTTGTAATGCAAGTGGAATGTGTGAAGCACAACTTATCACTTAGGAAGGAGAGTTTCCAGTTCACAAAGTTAAGTATGAAAGTACCCATGCACGATTTTGATAACATACAACTATCATCTAAAACAGCAAACATAGGGGGGGATAGTGTGATGGGAAGCTGATTTATAAACCAGCTGGTAGACATGACAAGTTCTAGTGAAAGATGTAACAAAGTACAAGTAAATTCCAAAAAGGCATAAAGCATCTAAAGGATGTAAATGGCAGGGTGAGTTGTAAGCTAATTAAAAACCTCAAATAAGGTTTGGGGTAGCTAGGTCCACTCTTATCTATACCTATAGACAGCACCCTTGAATATCTAAAATTCAAACCAGGTTATCTTGTATAAATATTACATATAAACATATTCATTTTTCACCGAGTCATATGTAAACTAAATAATTCAAGGAGTGAAGATTCCTTCAGCATTGGTCAGAGTGACCATTTGCAAGGCAATGCACTATAAATCCACGATCTAAACAGGAGATTTGAAATGTAAAGGAGCCCTTGGAAAACAAATACTAGAAAATAACATTTAATGAATCCCACAAAGTGCCACCAATTAAAATTTTAAAAAATTCTATTTGCATTAATCGATTCAATCTCC